TTATAATATTTCATTCTTTTTCTACAGTCCAGCCAAATCTTAATTCCTCTCTACCTAAATTATTGAAATGAATGTTGTTTAAAACTAGTAAATTTTTTAAAATTTTTTAAGTTATTTTTTTAATAAAAAAAGCTTTATTTTCTTTACTTAGTTCCATTTTTGGTTTTAAAATGGGTTACCATAGTACTATTTTCCGCAACTGTTCTTCTGAGTGCTTTACGTAAAACTCCTAAACTTTCTTTTTTTAAAGCCCATACTTAATGTATTATGTGTATAATTGACTTTAATTACAAAATAAAACAAAGTAATATTATTCATAGTCTTAATGGATAACTGAATATTTAGTAATATTGCCAAAAATTACGGAAATAACTTAAGCGATTTAATATGACTAGAAAGTCATTATAACTCAAAATTAATGTACAACTAACTGTACAATATAGATTATAGTATACTACATTGTTTCCATGTCCAACTTATGTCATTCATACATTTGTGGCCATCAAGTTTAATATAAATGTAACACTAATAATAATAATGACGATCATTTCAAATATGAAACTTCTATATGAATTTATACTTGTATTTCCTCGTAAAATACCATTCATTATGTAAAGAACCATATTTTATAATGAATACGCAAACAAACTAACAATTAAAGTCAATCATAGTCATTCATAGGATAGAGTTCATCTTCCACATAGAATGAAAATGATCATCATTCATCCTAAGACAATTACACTAGCTCCCTCCTTATTTTAACTATTCAAAACCTATAGGTACTAATGTAAAAACATGATGAAAAAATAATAATTGAACCAAAATATCCTTTACATCATTTTATGAGGGAGGGAGGGGGAGTCTGATCATTCAATTTCATCATTTAAAAGAAATAAAATACTTCCAAATGATGAAGAACAAATCTCTTATTTCTGAAAAAAAAGGTTACTTTTTTCTTAAAATTTTATTATATTTGTCCATTAACTAAGACCATTCTTCATATGTCATGAATACAAATTGGATAAGATGAATCTAATTATAAAAATGGTTTGTCTTCAATGTCTGTATCATTATTTTAACAATGAATTTACGAAGTTGGGTAAACACTAACAACGAATAGTTGTGTAGAAACCTGTTTTATCAGTTTTGAATTTAATTTGTAAAATAAAACATTTAGGAATTTATTCTTTAAAAATAATGAAACAAGTTTCATTTCTGTCAATCTCTAAAGGAAATACGGCGAGACCTTTGAACGAATCTTTAATGACCTGAGAAATATTAGCCAATCAGCATACAGTCAGTATAGAGTAAAAATATATTATACAAAACCAAAGAAATAAAGTGGATACACTTCTTGTACGTGGTTCAAAAACTTGTTAAGGTTAGAAAGAGGTCTACAGGTTCTAAGATCGTAATGCATGCAGTAGGGGAAATCATCCATATGGTTACAGAGTAGTAGGCCTCTGAAGCCATGATAAAGTCTCAAAAACCCTTTCAGCCTCGACAACATAGCTTCAAGATTGTTTGCGTGCACTCCGTTGTTGAGCACACAAAATGCTACTTGTGAATAACGACACGAGGCGCATAACCAAACATATGTAGGAGTCTGTACGCTCTCCAATCATCCGTATACGTTGTAGTATCTGGCTGCAGCCAGTGTTACTAGTGCTTTTATTATCCAGTGCGCAATAATTTTCGTAATTTACCTTAGTTAGGAATTATATATGTGATTTTCATTACGAACTGACATCAGCTATAATGCCAGAAATTTATTTAGCCAAATGGATGAAAGACTCTCAAGCCAAAATCCGAGATCTGTTATCTTATACCTGATTGATTCGTCCACAAATTATAGTCTGGCCGTTTTATTTGTTATAGCCGCTCAATTATCACGTTTTGTACAAAATTCCCTGTGAACTGATCGTACGTTAGCCTTGAGGGCTGAAGTTGGCGCCGTAACCTTGAAAGCTCTAAAACGCTTCTGATTGGCTCGTCCATAAATTAGAGTCTCGCCTGAAATACTTTTACATTTAGGTAATTGTAAATATACAGTAATTAGTTCGTTTTATGAGATTTGGATAGAATAGTAAAAAGATAGAGTTGATGTAAAAAATATGATGTATTTGTGTTACATATTGCGAATAAACTGGTCACCCATATACTTGTCAAGGCGTATATATATATATGGAAAGTAATAGAGATCATTTATATAGCAATTGAAGTAGACATATATTAATCATTTTCTCTTTTTGATTTACAAATGTTACAAGATACATTTGAGCTTTTATTTAGTCGAACCTTATTACTTTAGATACATAAATGCCTTGACAGATATATGTTAGCCTACATTCTCTTAGGATTACCAAAGTATTTTCTATATATTTGAAGAAAAACAACAGAATGTGTACGAAAGAAACAAACCCTTATCTTACATTGGTTTTAATCTGTCGTAATCATTTTTATTTCCCTCCATCATAGCCATCTACTCCCTTTCTACTTTCTTCTCTATTAAACATTTAATCCAACAAATTTATTTCTGTCCCTATGACCCTCCTGACTATAGTTCATTTCGATTTTAACATTTTATCATACTATGCTTAGCATAATTTTTTCTAATTATTTAAGTGACAGAATTATCTGGAAATAATTTGGAATCTTTTTATTACTAAGCATGTAGGATATTTCATTAACAGATTTTGTGAGGATTGATTTGTTTAGTAGTGTTGATTTTTACCATAAACTGAACTTATCTGAAGAAAATTAGGTATATGTTTCATCTTAGTTACGAGTCTTGAACAGCATGCACCTACAACCATGTCGATAATTGAGACTTTCATGTATCATGGATTAAAATTTAGTGATACTTATTTTGAGCATTGACTGCTGAGATTTGCTAAACTATAACTTCATGGTTTTAAACAATACCATGGATAAAGCGAATCCATGATAAATACCGTCTTGAAACAATTAGACCTGTTTAAACTAAATTTATTCTACAGCAAATAAAACAAATGAAGCCATATGAAAGAGGATGTATGTATTAGCGAATTACAGCATTATGTTATCTAGAATAATTCCTATCTTTAATGAAAAAAAAACAAAGGTTTGTGCCTTCACAACTTTTTATGTTTTATTATTCATCCATTATTGCAACTATTTAGACTAAAATTAAAGCATGAGGATAAATTATTACTGTAATGAGGAAACACATTTACTGTGTTCATTTCTACATGCTATTTTGTTTCACTGTAAATGTTAGTTGTCACGAATTTGTGTTGTATTTGGAAATATCATATATTTCATTATATATTAGATTCTGTATTGAACCTGATGATTTGATGTTTAGATCTGTCACAACTTTACTCAATAGATTCATATTTCACAAATTCATAAATAAATGAGAATGATAATTTAGAATGTCTAGTATTTATGCTTGAAAAATAATTGATTACAATCTGTTTGTATAAATGAAATATGTTTACTCATAAAATTTATTGTTAATAAGTCTTTAGTGTTTAAACATCTGAGGAATGCTGGTCGGCGGCCTATGCCCCATTAAGAGTAACAGGAGTAAGTAAATAAGTAGTTGACTTTAGGAATCTTATATTTTATACTTTTCCACATTTCAGCATATGTTGTTCATTAAAAGTGAAATGAAATGAGAGTTTGTTAGTTGAATCTATCACTAACCTTATAAACTTAAAAAACAATTTGTTTTATATGAATACTAAATCAACATAAATGTGCAAATGAACTTAAGTGCTGGTCTTTAACTTTTCTATTCTGAATGATTCACGTTTAAGGAAACTATACTATATAAAAACTCATTGCTTATTTTTACCGATTCTTTCATAATAAAATAAAACATCATTTAGACGGTTAACAAGTTAAGTTCTCATTTCTTTTTCCTTTCCTTAAAGAAAGTACTCAGTACATTAAAGATTTCTATCTGATATCAGTTTATCATATCAAATGGTTTAGAGTCGAATAGCAATATGTTAAAAAAGTTATTATAAGTAAAGTAGTATCAAGAACACACCTTTTGTTTTATAGGCATATCAAGAAAATAGAGTTACATTCCAGCTTGATCTTCATATTGAAATTCGAACCTACTACCTATCAACGCGTTATCTACTACTTTACAATGATCACAGAACCTCTAGCTTGTTCAATCTGTATGAAATTATTCCTTTGGCAATTTTGAAGAGTTTGTGTTGAAATTTTTAATGCGTTACGATATTTTATAATACAATGGATGATATTTTTTTGAAATCAGTATCTAATGAAATCTAGAGGAGAAACTGATGAGAAAATTATATACAAATTTTGATTTCTTATGATTATTCAATAATTGAATATCTGCTAAAATGTCTAGCTTGAACATTCGAAAAGTCCTAGTGGTTATTCAAGCAATACCGCATCACAAAATAAGTGAATACAGACGTATCTCATGTTCTGCATACCTTCAGACCAGATGACTTGCTTTACTTACCAGACGTTTAGTTATGTACTCATTTCTTGGATTATCATTATTCTAATTTCTGTATTAGATGAAGGAGACTTACAGTTTAATCACATTGTTGGATTTATCTAATAATGGGTATCAGTGTGATTGATAAACGATGTCAAGCCACTGCAAGTTCAGTATTGCAATTTATAGACTTAATAGTTCATTCATCGATCTGGAAATTAGTGACGATGTCTACATGTGTTAAATCTATTTTCATACTCAAAGAAATTTTAGTTAAAAAGCAAAATCACTCGGTTTAAAAAATCGTAGCTATTACGTACCATTTGTAGTTTAAGATTTATAGTAATTTGTATTTTAATAAATGAAAACATTTTAACGCTATTGTGTCAATGTTTCAAATTCAAAGTGAATGATTTAATCAAATTACTCAGTATCAAAACAAACTAATCTATGGACAGTTCTGTTTCACATTTGTAAAAGTTAACTGAGGGTTACACAAGGTAGCAAACTAAACAATCATCTGACTTACATGAATTTCATACTGATTTTCAGTAAATTCTGGAGCATTATCATTTTCATCTTCAATAATCACAGTAAGTGTATATGTGGAAGTCATTTTTGGTGTCCCTTCATCAGTGCATACGATATGCAACAGATGTGTAGGTTCAAGTTCACGATCGAATGTTGTAGTAGCGTATATACTATATATTTTCCACCTTGGTAATTTCCCAGTGAAATTTAAATAGAATTGTTCTGTTAACGACTGAATTGTAATATGGTCTTTATGGTCAGGATAACTTGGTATATCTGACAAAATACTGCTTTTAACAAATCTGTTCATATCATTTGGTTTCAAGTTGCATTCAAAAGAACCACCCAACCCAGTATCTTGATCACTTACTGTTAAAACAACCAGTGCATCATTTGTATGAGGAACATTTTCTGGAATGTGTAATATGTTATGATTATTTGATGTAATACTAATGTTCAATCTAGATAAATGTTGCTTATAATTTTCTGACAATTGTATACGTGGCTTGATTGTTGGTGAGTGAGTATTTGCATCGCTCAGACTGATTTGTACCGTAGTTGTACTTGATCTAGGTGGACGTCCTTTATCTGATGCGATTACTTGAAAATTCCATTCATTTGGTCCAATATCGTAATTTAACGTCCGAGCTATATACAAGAGTCCAGTATTTTTATCTAACTCAAAATTTTCAAGGACAGAGTTTGGTGTTGAAGCAGCATAGTGGTACTCAATTTCACCGTTTAAGCCTTCATCAGGATCTGTAGCATGCAATTGGTTTTTGGTACGAAGTTTAGATGATGAATCATCACTTAGAATCCCTAATGGATCAACATTGTCGAAAGTTCGATTGTTTTCAGTTAAGTATATCACACTTCCTATTTCTAAGTCTTCGGATATTACAGCTTGATACATTTTACTTGGGAATGTTGGTGTATGATCATTTTCATCAGTTATATGAACAGTTATTTTCAACGTACCTGTATGATATGGTTTATTGCCATCGATAGCCAACAGACTTAAGTTATACCAAGCTTGCCTTTCACGATCCAATGACTCAATAACATTTAATACTAAATGAAAGTTGTATAAACTTAAATTTTCCATGCTATGTTTTTCCACCAGTAATTTAAAATATTTCGATTCCATCTTATCAGTTTTCAGTCTATACTCTTGTATTGAGTTTATGCCATAATCCGGGTCACTGGCTAAAGGCAATTCAAACGTTTGTGTTGTTTTAATTTCTTCTTGTACGTTGATCAAAATAAATGATTGTGGCCATTTAGGAATGTTGTCGTTTAAATCATTAACAGTAATACGTAATCCTATGTATTGACCATCGGTTGTAATAGCAAAACTACTCCATATACAATGTTGTGGATAACCAGGTTCAAGGCATAAATATGGATTATCATCTCTGTCCAACTCACCAATGACACGTAGAGCACCTTTATAATCAATTTCAAAAAATGTATTATGCGGAAGAGTGAATTTTATGTTTGCTAAAGGTGTAGGATAAATTAATTCAGGTATATAACCGATAATTGTTCCAATAGGTGTATTTTCATTTACATTAAAAGTGATAGGACTTGCAACACTAGATGATTGTAAATTATCATACATAATAGAAGAAGATCTGATAACTAATCTTTCAGATAATTCTTTATCTACAATATTATTAACCATCCGGTTATCAATAGAATTATTAACTAACAATTTTGTAGAGGTAGTAAACCAGATATCGCATATCATAATGATAATCAATATAAAACTATAACTTAAACGTACTTTTAATAAAGAGAAAAATAATGATTCTAAGAAATACAGTTTATCAATTCGATAATCCGATTGAATAAATGATGTGAAAATAAATTGTAATTTGAACATTTGTACATCTATATTCCATTTTATAATATCATGATAGAAAATTACTTTAATAATAATAATAATAATAATAATAATAATCTATAAATGTATTTATACAACATTCCTTTGTTTTAAATAATCTAAATTATAAATATAAACATGTAAAATTGTATAAAAATTCAAATTATAACTTTACAAATTTGTATTAACATTTTCATGTAATTGATGTTTGGAAATAAAAACAATATCACTTTGCATTTTTGTTTTTGTTTTATGAAAGAAAACTTAATCAAGATGATAATACTCCAGTATCTTGCAATCGTTTATCACATACTGTTCTTTTTTTGTTTGTTTTGAAATCATTCGATTTCATACATATTTGTATAGTTATAAATAAGAATAATAATAAAATATATTGAAATTTGAATGTAACACATGCTGATGTTTATACATTCCATATGGTTAACAGAAAATTGACCAATCACAATTGTTTTAGCTAATCTACATATGATTGGGGAAAAATTACATCCCTATAATATGGTGTGTAATATAGTAATTTAATTGGCAATTAAATATTATGTTCTAATACTTATGAATCGAAAGTTATATTAAGTTGACTAAAAATTAAAAAAAATAAAAAATAATAGTGCCGTTTATTTTGTATATCAAACTAGTTGATAGTAAAGAAATATACATATTTTCAATGGTTAAGATCATGAGTCAGTGACTATTCGTATGACTGTATATGCTATTTTACTAAATATGAATATCCTATTTTTCAATGAAGAAATGTTCCAACTCCTTCAAAATCATTGGTCGATGTAGAAACAAAACTGTCACCGATTCGAACTTACACACTAGCGTATAATTATCAACTGTAGTCTTGAAACTGCTAGATTGCCTAATTACTTTACTCTTTAACAACTAGACAGATAGCATTATGTATTGTTAGGATGTGCAGAAAAATATACCAATAATTATCATGTTAAGTCTAATAGTGGCCTTGGACTTTAAATGTACACTCCCTATTCGTCGATATTTATTTCACTTGTTAAATATTGTACAAATGTTGTCTTCTATTTTAAGGTACGACGTGGTCTGGTTGATTGGAAAACCTGGAAGCACTGGATGGCCGTTTCGTTCTATTGTGGGTCTCCTCAGCAGTGGTCATCGACAGCCTCGCCCTCTGCGAGATTCCAACCCAGGACTTAATAATTTCGTGCGCGAGCACTTAGCCATTAGACCACTGAGCCGTTCAGTATCCAACGGTGTTGATGTCTAACTTTAACTAATCCACGAAATTGAGCGACACATTTACCATTGTCTTCAGTGAGTTACTATCTCACAACAGACCTGGTTGAACTCCACTGGTCACTACTTCTCACTAGAACTCCAGGATATACCTTTTGAAGCCAGTCACTAGTGAGCATATGTTGAATAATATCAGATGGGTTGGGGTCGTCTAGTGCTTCCCGGCTTTCCTTGGTGGTCTAGCTTCAACTTACCTTCTGATCTTAACCACTGAAATTACTATAATATCCACAAAACCCAACCAAATATATATATATATATATATATATATATATATATATATATATATATATATATAAGGATTCTTTAACATGCTTACTATTGGTCTTATATAAGTACTTGCGTAATCCAGTTACTAACTTCCATATTTTACATATTAAAAAATTCATTTCTAACCATCACCGATTCGGAATACATATCATAGGTTTCATATGACTCATGGGTTATGAATTTCTTGTATTTTTTGTTTACTAAACTGAGTATCGATTATTCTGATCGTCAATATTATGAGAATACTGATGAGTTGTACATCGAAGTTTACAACTATGAGAATTGAAAAGGTTCTAAATTAATACAGATAATCATTATATTTAACAATCTAATAAGATAAAGGTTTATTTAATTGATTATTTTGACTTTTTTATATGACGTATGGACACAGTTGGAACTATACTTTAAAAATATTTTTCCAATTAATAATACTGTAAGTAATTATGTTTATTTCATAGACTGAACTTGATTAGAAAACCGAGAATTACAAGACAGTTGTTTTGTATTGGTGTAGGGTTCCTCATCACTATGCATTTCGACCTTGCCAGGGATCAAACCCAGGACCTTAAATCTCGTGACGAACAGTAGGTGGGCGTACGATATTTACATAACTATGATCAATCAGTGATGCGACACAAAGAAAATTCGATAATCTCCACAAACTCAATCAAACCCAATATCTTTTGTAATTACTTAAAACCTACTTCAAACTCAAAGTCAACATAATGTTACAACTATGGATATTCCAAACTAGAATAAAAGCAGGCATTTGGCAGTAAAATGAAAGCGATATGTGAAACGTGTTCGCTAGAGTATATCTGAAGGATTGTAATTAGATAGACAATGAAGGAACCTTACTGTTTAATCACGCTAACAAATGTTTGCCGTATACTTCTTCATCCACCATAGATCTAGAATGATCAAGATTTTTTAAAGTTAGAAATATATTCTGTATTACAAATCCATGATAAGTATAGTAAACCATTTATATGTACTGGTGTGTATGAGCATCTGTTTCATGTTATTTCAAATGCAACAAGAATAACCATTGAAACGGAATAACATGTATTCATATGTTGTGTGTTCTTGCCACCTGCTTAGAAATATTAGTCATATTAGCAACAAGAACTAATTAGACGGGAAGTAAAAATATATATACAGTCAAAACCTGCATCTGACTACATGTAAAATAATGAAACGATAAGCAAACAACGTAGTCATTAAATGAAAAAAAAATTGTATACATACCTTCCAACAATGTGAGTAAATATTATGAAATGAAAGCAAAGTTGTTTTACAGTTGATAGAGCTACAAGTTGCCAAACATTTATCAATCTAACAGGTAATGTGATTAAGTAAGATTGTTTTTTGTCAGTTAAATTATCAACTTAAATTGTTAATCAGGAAGTTATGTATTGATTATTGATTTGAAAAATATAAATTATAAAGAATTCATACTTAAGTCACTTATCATTTACTTACTCTGTTGAATACTATTTGTCATGATAAAAATAAATGAGAAGGTATGTAAGATGACTGAGATGGTTACTAAAATATTTCCCTTAATAACTTACTGAACGTGATAATTGCTAAATAGGCCATTTATTCGTCATTAACTGAGGACTAAGACCAAAACTGTAGAAATAATTTGCACGAAATATAAATAAAAAATCGTAAATTACAACAAAGATTAACAGTGAATTATATGAAATAATTGAGAGCATTCAAAGAAAATTAGTACTTCTTACTTCCGCCTGTTACTCCCAATGGAGCATAGGCCGCCGACCAGCATTCTCCAACCCACTCAGTCCTGGTCCTTCTTTTCTAGTTCCATCCAATTCTTGCTCATTTTTCTCATGTCTATCTCCATTTCTCGACGTAATGTGTTCTTTGGTTTTCCTCTTTTCCTTTGGCCTTGAGGATTCCATGTGAGGGCTTGTCTTGTGACGCAGTCGGGTGCTTTCCTCAATGTGTGTCCTATCCACTTCCAGCGCTTCTTCCTGATTTCTTCCTCCGCTGGGATCTGGTTTGTTCTCTCTCACAGTACGTTGTTGCTAATAGTGTCCGGCCAATGGATCTGAAGTATTTTGCGTAGACAATTGTTAATAAACACCTGTATCTTCTGGATGATGGCTTTCGTAGTTCTCCAGGTTTCTGCCCCATACAGTAGAACTGTCTTGACATTTGTATTGAAAATCCTGACCTTGTTGTTGGTTGACAGTTGCTTTGAGTTCCAGATGTTCCTCAGTTGTAAATATGCTGCTCTTGCTTTGCCGATCCGCGAGACTATAATTTATGGACGAGCCAATCAGAAGCGTCTGGACGATTTCAAGGTCACGGTGCCCATTTCAGTACACACTGCCCAAGTATGATCGGTTTACGATCGATTTTTGAGAGGTTACGGTGGAGCGGATACAACAAATGAGATTACTAAAAGTTCCTTTATTTGTGACCGCGGTAATCAAATGAATTCCGGACCTTATGCAGGCTATCGTGATTTATTTGGATGTGTTATATGTTAGAGGAAAAAGTCTGCTAGAACGAGAAAATTTTTCGCTCGATCCCGACTGATTCTAAGACAACTTATCACAATTGTTGTAAACTGGGTAACAAAAGCACCAGTAACACTGACTGCAACCACTGCAGATGTTACCAAAGCTTCGGCAGTTCACTGGTATGAGTATGCTGAGATATATGAGCTGTAAAAATCACAATCTTGCATTAGTCGTTTGGAGGAGTTGGAAGAAACGCAGAAATAAAAGAAACGGTTGTTAGAAAACGAAAATTCAATTGGGGTCAAAGTGTTAAGGAGGACTGGGTTTGTAGCCCTTCCATAACTATACTTCACAGGTCCTTGGAATATAGGATAGGTCATCTCAAAAAAGAGACCTCAAACGCGTTGAAAACTGAAAATTCACGACAGTAATACTGATTATACGAGAGTATATACAGCCGTGATCCATCATATACACAAATGACTAGAGAGCGTGCCGATGCTTATATAGACTTCGTTATGTGAATCATCCTATCGGTCCACAAGCGACGTTTTGTGGACCCCACCACTGTAGTGCACACAACTAATGTAGAAGCAATGTGGTCGAGGTCAAAAGAATTTTCGTGACCTTATCACAGCTCCAGAGGTCGACTGTTATGCAGTCACATGGATGAGTTACTGTATCATATGCATCACGATTTCAGATCTGCAGAGCCTTTTTCTAACCTTGAAAATTTTTTGAACCATGCTAAAGAAGTGCATCTACTCTTTTTCGATTTCGTATTGTATATTTTTACTCCATAGAGACCATTTTTTGATTGGTTGAAATTCTCAAAGTCACTTAAGATTTGTTCAAAGATCGTTCGTAATCAATAGTTTACTTCTGATAACAATCAACTTGGTTAAAACCATAATCCCTGATACGTCTAGAAATTTTATTCTCGTTATTTCAAATAATAATTGATATTTATTTTCT